TGTGTGTGTGTGTGTGTGTGTGTATGTGGTTGTGTGTACCGCATAAAACTCACACATTCACAAAGGCCTATGACGTTTGATTGACTGTTCCCCACTCTTGGCATCCGCCCACCTCTTGTTCGACATGTACATCGAAGTATATAGCAGCAGGACGACAGTGCGTTTATACACGCCATAACAGTATACTCACTTCCTCTTCAAAGTTACACGGAAACGCATAATATGCGCTGTACACCGTGTAGTATATTACCGTAGTTGAGATTTTTCTAATGCCTTTGACTCACTGTTAACTGTAGTAAATTGTTATATAATGCATTAAGGGCCTAATCCTCCAGTATTTTTTAGCTGCCCTAAATGTATATGCATGAGTAACGGCTCAGGAGATTAAATACAACTGAAAGACATGCTAGGTTTATGGTATTGTTACTTGTTATATCGCAAGGACTCAGTTTTCGTCGTCAGCGTGGTAGTGTGGACAAATGTATGGATAGACAAGGACGACGGAGAGAAAAGTGGAGTGCTCGAGTACAAATGAAAACCGTGAGAGTGGTGGTGACCGAGGAGCAAATGCTTTCGTCCTGTTAATCTAAGTATATTGCAACAGAACGACAGTGCGATATACTTAGTATTTTACTCACTTCCCCTCCACAGACAACAGTTACATGAGAACATATAATATGCGCTGTACGCACCGTAGTATATTATCGTACAGTTGAGATTTTTCCTAATGCCTTTGACTCACTATTAACAGTGCGTATCATACGACGCATTAATGGCCTAATCTCCCCCGTTTTTTTAGCTGCCTTAAATGCTTATGCGTGATCAACGGTGCAGGAGATTAAAACTGCAACTAAAACACACACTAGGTATATGGCTGTTGCATTGTAACGACGCAGTTATCGTCGTCAGAGTGGTACGATGGACAAACGGATGGAGAGGAAATAGTGACGTGCGCGTGTACGGGGAAAACCTTGCGAGAGGTGGCGACCGAAGAGCGAATGCTTTTGTAGACAGAGTTAATCCAGATTAATAGAGTTCAATGTAACCCTCGGTACATAATATACACAATGTAAAATGTACATACGTACGTCATACATACATTTACATACTTATATACGTGTTGTACGCTTTTGTAAGTGTGATGTGCTATTATGATCATACACTACGCTGCTTTTGCGTTGGTTCAACGTGGTATGAAATTATAACACACTCCGCCAACCTTACAGATTTTTGTGTGCATCTACATAAGCATGAACAATTTTTTGTAAGGTACGCAAAATATTGTCAAAACACATTTCATCGATCGAAATTGTAATGTAATGAAATTCCGATCAATGACTGATCATTATGTTGGTATACAATATACATCTCGTATTTGCAATTTCTCCGACTACCTATCCAACGACATAATCACTATTAACATATTTTGAATCATTTGAAAACTAAACCTAACCTAACCAATCACGCATACTATAAATTATAATAATAGTGTAGAAGTTCCGTATCAACATACTTGGTCAGTACTCAGTTGGCGCATTTTTTTGATCAAGACATGTTACACAACTTATTATTTCTATATTCTAATGTACCTACATTTATGTTTTAGAAAACAATAAATTATGTTCATATATATTTATATATGTTCAATTATATCATACATTCAAATGTATTACCTATAGGCTATAATACATGTATGTTGTATACCATAAAAGGATTTTTGTTATGCCTATATGTATATATTACGAGTATCAATAATCTATAGACTTATTATTTGTTACTATTTAAAAAGTATAGTTTGTATTCACAGTAAGAAGTTTTAATGTAACATATATTGTCCAAATTTCAATAAAAATATTTTATAATAAATTGACTTAACTTAAATTAAAAATAGCTTAAATTGAAAATTGTAATTTCAAACAATTTTTAATAAAAACTATATAAGTTTAGTGTTAAGTATAAATATTATAATATGTTTTTTATTTTTGTTTTTAAAATATTATGTTTATTTTTTTTAAATGTATTTCATTTAACTCAATAAATAATTTAAGAATAATAATAAAATGTCAACGAATGGTCTGTTCTCCCAACCATAGTATTTTTATCGTTAATAAGGGTATAGTTTGAATATTTATAGTTTCTCCACTATTTTTCTGACTTGAAAAAGAGTATTGTGTAAGGTTTATGTCAAAAATATGTTCTCTACTCTCGATAAACACTGTCATTCTATTGATCATAATTATGTATATACTAAGTTTATAAAATTCAACATTTTTTAATCATTCAAATGATAATGTGAATATTTTGGTGTTAAATTAATTTATTAATATTCAATTATTCTTAATTGTTTAATTTCGTATAACACTATGTCTACGTTTTACCCCAGTATCACGTTATATAATTATATGAATGTATTGAATGAATTATATTCTCGCCTATCATAAAATTACCACTTCTATGAAGGCGAGTGAGTGACTCTGACAAGTGTTAAAAATTATAATTAATACAATTTTTCATGCATCTCTTACAATAATCAAAGGCATCAGTAAATATTACATATTGTGTTATACGTAAAGATAAATAAGCATAAAAAGCATTTGAGTTGATCATTCCGGTTACTGAACACACACTGTTGAAGAGTTTTAGGTGTGTATATCGTGTTCTCTCATATTTATTGAACTTATTAATTATGTACTTGAAAATAATTTTAAAAATTGATATTCATAACAAAAATCAGAATATTATTGTTTATTCAATTTTAGCACCGTTGACATTATATTTCATTGAAGAATTGAAAGGTTGTTTAGTTATTTAAATTAAAAAACCAAAGCTTTGGATTAAAATTAAATGTATAATAGGCGTCAATTTATTTTTCAACGAGTAAACAAAATATTGACCTTACATTGGTACCTTATTTATGAATTATTATTATACATCAAATTCTTTATTTATTCTCTCCTCGATAAATCAATTTATTACAATTATTTAATACGATTAATGAAAAAAGAAGTACCTATTTGGTTTTGGTTTATCTCTTTAGATGTGTGCTGATAATATAGGTGCCTTTATGTTTAGATTTAGGTATAATATTATATGTTTATAATATAATGATTAATTGGTGTTCAATTTATTCTGTTTTTATTCACAATATCAAAATGATATTATTTATTCGTTTCAGAATGGATCGAATACATGAACCTTTTTTTCTTCTCGGTGATGACCTGTTTCGGTTCAACGAGTTTTAACTCGATTCATACAAGTATAATAATGGGTGTAATACGTGTGTGCATATTAAGTATATAGTATCGTCTCCTGTGATTTATGTTCTTAAAGTCGACCGACCTAGAAGAATCTACTATCCAGCTAGACAGGGTAGACTTTCAAATACTGTGTTATTCGAGTGCAAAAAGCAGCAAAGTTCCATCCGTTAGGCGTCCATCCAAATCATGTTTCACTTCTTGCGAACGCATTTCGTTGAACTAGTGGACCGTGTATGTATTGCCAGGATTCCCGAGACGGAGAGTCAATTACGTAGTTGTCACAAAACAGTGCCTTTTAAATTATTTTCGAAGAACTTGGGCGTGAGTGTGTGCACACGAGTGTATGCGTGAATACTGTATATGTATAATATACTACTTGAGCATAATACAGTAGAGAGAAAACAAGCACTGTATTTTTACACAAGGATAAAGCAGGAAACGTTCGTTTGAATAAACATCATGGCTGATCGGTTTCTACCCCCATCTGAGCATCCCCCAACAGCCCAATGCACTAGGCCAAACGTATGTGTTGTGTATGTGTTTAACAGCCGTAAAAATAAAATTCTCCTTTTTTCTCTCTGCTAACGATTGCTTTGACGTACCTGAGCACATATTTTACTTTCCTTTTTTTTTATCAATTCCATCCCAGTGAGAATCACTCCGACCTACGTGACAACTCTCAGCGCGCTGATGAGTGACGACATTTAACAACTCGTAATTATTTCATACCCATTTTGAATGCATTGTTTAATATTGGCGATAGGTGTGAAAAAATACAATTCAATATTTCGTCAAACTCCGTTAGGTACTCATAATTCGTTTTGGAAAAAAATCTACTCTCATATAGAATAAAGTTCAGAAGTATTCAGTCACCATTTACGATTTACCTATTAAATAATAATTTAAATACATAAGACACATCCATTTTACTTATTAAAATATTGGTACTCACTTATAATGCATAAATTTAAAAAAGTTCATATTTGTGTCTTAAGATATTCTATTATTTAGATTTATGAAAATAAATCTAAATTTATTAGACAAATGTATATTTTGAAACGAATTAGTTATTTCTTCAGGATTGTACCTCAGGTTTATTCAACTTAATTAATGAAATTGCTGATTATTTAATTCTTGCAAATTTAAATATGAATCCTTTGTATTTAACACATATCTTGAAGACATCGATGTGAAAAAAAATGCAACTATTTCCGCCTTTTAAAATATGTGTGTCTTTGTGTTTAGAAAATAAATTGGTGTGATTAAAATTAATAATTTAGTTTGGAAATAATTTAAATTGTTTATTCAGAAGAATGGTTTATTATGTTTTTGTATTTTTAATGTACTAAAAACTAAAACCAACTAAGAATATGACAAGAATTAAGTTGAGAAGTTTAAACATTTTTACCTTGTTTGAAAATCTAATTATTGCTTTACTCGCCCTTTAAGTGGATGTAATTAACCGAAAGTGGTATTAATTAATAATGTTATGTTAGGTTCTTCTTATATGCACTACATCTGTATGAAATAAATCAAAAAAACTGTATACATAATTACATGTTTTAATTTGTATAAAAACAATAGGTCAATACATAATTAATAGTTTATTATGAAACTATACAATCATATTATGTACCGTTTGTATTCAAAATATCTGCGATTTACATCAAATTAATTAATTCTTTACTATTACCTATCTTAAAAAAAATGCAGTTGTAAGACATTTTTCTGTTATTGTTTCAGGTGTTGTTGTCATTCAGACAAAGACGGAGCCATCACGGTAAGTCAAAACATTAGTTATTATCCTTACCACACGTACTTTAGTCATTATGAGTATTATTATTACAACAGTATCGACGTGTATCTTCTATATTATTATTATTATTATCATAATCATAATCATCAACGCTAACCATTGTCATTATCATTATCGTCATCGTTCTCGTTGTTATGGAGTGGAATTTATACTAGTTATTCGTGAGAGGCATATAAATTACGTGATCCCAAAATATTGTCCTCTCTTCTCTTCTCTTCGCCATAACTTGTGAATGTGTGTGTGTGTCTCTCTCTCTTACTCTCACACACACACTATCTCTATCTCACTCTTTTTATAACATGAATGTTTTAAACTGCCTATAAATTAGTCGTGACCGTCGCCACATGGCATTATGGCATTTGAAACTGGAGACTACGAGCAACAAGGGATAGACCTTTGCAAATAACGTAATAAATGCTGCCGGACAATGCACCGCTCCACAGGCGGTATTCAGTCGTGACGTTAAATGCTTTATTATATTATTATACTCATAACGTCCATATTTTACTTATAATAATAACGATGATGAGTACCTCGTTATTTTAGTTTTGCTATGAGATGAGTGTATGTGGGTGTGACTATAAATTATATACAATTTGAACTAAAGTTAAAAAAATGTATACAACATTGCTAAGTAATTCGCAAATTAATTAGTATGACTAATCAACAAATTATAAAAAATGTTTTAGTTAAATAAAAATAATATAAATACATAATATATTGATAAATGTTGTTCGTGCAATATTGTAAATCTACATTTGGAGTTCAGTTTTTTAACAACAACGTTTCTGGATAGGAACACAGTTGACATTTTAATATAGTTATTTTACCCCTATTCTAATAATAAAAAAACCAACATTATATTTATTATTAATCAGATTACTATAATTACTACTATATTAATCAATAAATCATGAACCAATAAATGTTGTTAGTGAAAACACTATATGGTTATTTAGATTTTTTAACAGGTTTGTTTGATTGGAATTAAAAATTACTCTGGTTTCAACGTCACATTGATGATAATTTACTTTTCCATCAAAACATTTTATGAATTAATTATTAATTGTATTTTTTTTTATAAAGGATTTTATTTATGTTGCATATTGTTCATGAATGCTAAATCGTGTTTAAAATATAATATGAGTAGGTACCCACCCAAATAGAAAGTGGGCGATTTTCAACAGAGACATTTTTTCGGGATTTTTTTATTTTTAAATATTGATTTGAATTACGTGTACCTACACATATTTTCTTAAGTTTTCAGAAGGCAGAATCAGTAGATATTTTTAACTTGTTTTTTACATAACTCAAATTATGATTAAAGCTAAAAATTAATTTCACTAATATACATAATTACATAATTAGATATTACAATATTAGGTTAAGAATTTAAACCTGAAATTGCAATGTAAAATGTATAAATTAAGAACTAATTTGTTTAAATTAATAAGAAAGCTATATAAAAAATTAATATTTCGTAATATATAAAGGTTTTAAAATTTTAAATATTTGATCATGTATCAATACTTAATATTTTTACCAAAATTAACTTGTATATCAATTGTTAATCATACTCGGTATGTATAAAATAAAAGATTATGTATGAAAAATGTCTGTGAAGTATACTAGCTATAATGTATAACCCAACAACTTTTCTGGGTAGGCTTACAACTTGTTCATAAGAAAAAAAATAATGATAATAAAACACCTGTCTATTATTTATAGCTTCCTTTTTGTATGTAAACTTTTTATGTAATTTAATCTTTATTATGTCGTATAAAAGTAATGATGCATTTGACTAAGGTTCGGAAACATTTTTGGCGATGGGCTTATGAAATTAAATCCTAATTTGGATTATAATCTTTAATGTATATATTGTATTGGTATACACATTCAAGACACAACAAACAACGCACAGTACCGTGTGCGGTGTGGTTAACAATAGACGTTTAAATACGTAGTTCTGTACATTAGTCACATTTATAGTACCAAAGTTTGTATGCATAAAATAATTAATAACAGCTAAAATCAAAATTTATGATTTTACTCTGCCATACAATGAATACAATGACTCGTTGTCTTGAAACTGCTGTCGCGTCATAATAGTGTTTACGTATTACAATATCTTCTTAAACTATGCCATATGTACCTCCCTGAATTGTTTCTCGTCAAATTCTTAATGCTATAATTTAGACATTTAGTCTTAGTCGATTTATCTTGGAGGAACTTTACTATAACGGGTGCTAATTTCAACTTTCTTTGTTAATTGAACATTTGTAAAAATTATTGTATCTGATGAAAGTTGAAAGCTAAAATATAGTGCCTACCTAAAATCTTCTATTTGTTTGCTGTTAATTTTGTTATGAATTATTATTTAAAGCAAATGTTTGTTTATTTTACCGAGGTTTTGAAATTAACAATTATTTTTTTTCTTGGAATATGTATTTTTCATTTAGGATTATTTTATACCTCGTATTGACCCTTCTCGACTTCAACGTGTTCTGCAATTTTTTAATGTTTTACTTGGCTTTTAAGGTATCCAAACACACTTAACGATTATTCTATTGTTTCCGAAATACATGGAACGGACAGCCTTGGCTGAACGAAGAGCATGATAATTTTAAATTTCGTTTATTGTTCGTTTTCAAACCAAATTGATTACCTTACTATAATAAGCGTATAATCATTTAAGTTTACTTTAATGTTCCTTTTCATCCTTAATATATCTCACAAGTATCAAACTATTTTTACAATTTATATTTATCACTCATATTTTCTATCTTCATAGTTTATTATTCTGTACGTTTCGAGAACAAACCATTGATAATTTTCCTAATAAATTAAATACATTTTCTTTTTTTAAATGTTTACAACTTATTCAAGTACCATCGCATACTGCTATGCAATTCTAAATGCATATATCACTACATGTTGATCTCGGATGATATATCATATTATTGTCTATTTTCAAAAACCGGGAAATACAGATGAAAGACGTCCATAAAATATATTATCGATGAGTACCAACATAAATATTCAGTAAACAATGCCACTTAAAGATTGCTTTGTGTTGCCCTGCATTCTGAGGATTTTTGGTCTGTATTGTCCTTTTGTTTACTTCGACATCGTCGTATACGTTAAACCGCTAAGCTCTCCGTTTAATCGCAGGTGTTTCGAGTTTAATTGTTTAAAATACAGAAAAACCACACCTTGCGTAAGTACATCCTATTTACATGTATAGATCATTATTATTATTATTGTTATTAGGTAGGTATATCACAATAGGTTTATTTTTAATTAATGTAAATATTAACATTTTCAAACTCATATTTTATTGACTATGTACCTACCTACTATAATATTTACGAACAATATATAGAGTACAAAATTAATAATAATATGTTGATTATATTATTTAAAATAACTAAGGTATTGCTCATCGAAAATTTTAAATACAATACTCTGCAAGTAATTATTTGAAATTATATTAATATTTTTAAAATTAAAAAATACATATTTACATTCAATGGTATTTACCGCACTACGATTATCAAAATTCATTATTCTTGTAGTTAGATCTGATAACCTAATTTTATTTTAACGCTACGTAAATCAAATTTGCTTGTGTTCACTGATTTGTAAAAAAAATGGATATGCACAATTTATAATATGTAGGTACTAAAAACTAATAATTTATATCCCGTTTTTAGTTTATGGTTGAAAATGATGATGTACCTAGATAATGTGACTGACTCCTAAGTTAAAGTAAAAACACTAAAATGTTTTAAAATTCACACTTGCTTGACGAATCTTTGTCTTGTTAGAATTATTGATACTATTTAAATAAGCAATTATCTCTTTTTTTAACACACATACAATTATATAAATACGAGTAGATAAAGAATAGGTTATGTAAACTTATTTGTAAGTGCATCGATAATAAGAAAGCTGATAATGTAAAATCATTAAAATATTTATAGTAGGTATCTTTAAACGAATAATACTACAACAACAACAATAATAACTATAACAGTAATTAGTAAAATTCAGTGCATAAACATAGTAACTATCGTTATTTTTTTCAAGTCAATTTTTTTTTTATTACCCACTATTATTTATTATGTTTAGTGTAGTTAGTGTATAAACTATAATATTTGTAATTATAATTTATGCATCAGAAACAAAGACGATTGTAAGGTAAATATTTGAGAAAATATAAGACGATAATAGTGAACACTAGAAATTTTCATTTATTTAGTATAAACGATGTTTACAGTAAGTAGGTAGACTGTATTACTAATTAAAATTCAATACCTAAGTCTTCATCGTTAATTTTAATCATTCAATTTTTAGTACTTATATATATATATATAATGATTTGGTGTATAGTATATTAGGATGATCATATTTTGTATATTTTATCTAAATATATTTTTTTTCTAAACATTTTTAATAAACAAAGTGTATAATGTCTTAAATGATAAATACAAAAATAGAACGCCTGTGTATAATTTAAATTGCAAATGAGATTAAAAAAAAATTATATTTCTTTGATAACAGTTTTTTTATACTTTTGCTATAGGTAATACAATAATGTATTAACATTTTCAAACGGGAGTTTGCAGTATATGTTATAATAGGTTTCTTAAACTGTTGTAATGTACAAATATGTTGCGTATGTTAATATGTATTTAATAGTACCTATTTAATATGTATTTAATGCATTTAATAGTTTAAAATTAATTCAAAAACTATAATGAACCTCTAACTAATTATTTTAAATGACTACAAGACTAAATAAAAGTACAGTTCCGGTTTGAATTAGTTAAATAACTTAGTAAATTACCATGGCTATTATGATCAGTCTCACATTTTATCTGGAACATAATATTATATGTAGCTTCTAAGAAGTCTTTACATAAGTTAATTTTTATTTATATTGAATACGTTATTTTAGTTGT